GACGGAATTTTTTGCTCGACGACCCCCACCGGAGTTGTCACCATTCGATAGAGAATTAAATTCTGCATCCAGCACAACCAAGTAGGGGACCAGCACAGATGTAGGGGCGAATCGGCACAGGAAATACGCGAATCTGGTGCTAACATTACCTACGTTTCTATTTGAAAGTTTTTCATGTTATAGAAGCAATACATAAAAATAATCGTTGATAGAAGATGAAATATTGTATGATGATCAATTATGACTTTCTCTTTGCGTTCTTCTTCTTAAATGTTTATCAGAGATCCTTTCCATTTTTTTTACAATCAAAAGATTCGTTTCTCATCGATGACATTTATAAAGAGAGAAAATTAAGAAATAATGAATTAAATTTAAATTTAAATTTTTTTGTTTGTTTTTGTTTGTTATGTAGTCAATTCTGATATAAAAGACGAATTTTTTATAAATATATCTTATTTACTAACAGTTAATGACATCTTTTCCAATCTAGTTTTGTATTGGATGATGTTCAAAGCAATGAACATTTTTTAGCTTTTCTTCATTGCTTTTGTTGTTTTTATTTTTTCTAGCTAATTAATTTAAAAATCTAAACGATGGCTGGTACCGGTGAAAAAAATCAAATAATTGATTTACATGAATTATGTATTGAAGGTGATTTTGCAGAATTAAAATCCGCATTAAATTCATCAAAAGATATTGATGTTAATCAATATAAATTATTTGTCTATCGGCCATTAGCAAATAGTTCAAAAGAAGTAGATGATTCACTTGATGTTGAAGACGATTATCAATCAGATGAAGATGTAACCGATTCTGGTACAATGTTTGATTATCGATCTCCACTTTTTTATGCTATTCTTCATGATCGATTAGCTTGTGTTAAATTACTTATTGAACATGGAGCAAATACAGATAAATTGAGGTAAAATAATTAATTAAATATTATTGTTAAAAAAAGAATTTTTATTTTTATTTTTATTTTTATTTTCTATCAATATAGACCTTGGGGTTTAAATGCTCTTTGTTTATCATGTTATTGTGGACATATACGTCTTGTCGAATATTTTCTTAATATAAATTTAAATGCAAATGTAACAGATAAACCAAGTGCAACAGATAGCTATTTTAGTTCATTATCGAATGAACATGAACATAAAATAAAAATGCGTGAAATGCATTCACGTGTTGCACAAGATATGGGAATGTTTCACTATCCACTTCATATTGCTATTAAACAAGATTATATTGGATTAGTTAAACTTTTACTTAATTATAAACAAAAATTTGATATGGAAATAAAAGAAGCTTATACGAAAAGAACACCATTACATATTGCTGCTGGAAAATGTTCAACAGAGGTTTCACAAAGAAGTTTTTTTTCTTTTTTTTTTGTATTCTAGTAAAAAAAACTTATTCTTTTATAGATAATTAGTCTTCTATTAGAAGAAGGTCAAGTTGAAGAAAATCCAATAGATTTAAATGGTCATACACCATTAGATATTGTTTGGAAATTACTTAATAATTTAGATTATCAATTTGAATATAGAGAAGAAACATTAAAATTAATGTTAAGTCATAAATGTAGATTTTCATCACTTAAATCACTAACAGAATTTTATACAAATTCTTTATCAGCATTTCGTCGATTTGAATCAAATTTTTGGATCGTTATTGCCTATGATTTACGATCATTATTTCTTGATTATTTTGAAAATAATAAAATTTTACTTGTTCATATATGGGTTTGGTTTAACCGAAATTATCAAGATACTGTTATTGTATCAATTTCATCTGTTGCTTTATCAAAATGACTTCCTAAATCTTCTGTAAATAATTCAACAAGTTCATGATTTGTTA